GGCTCGTTCTATTAGCCAGATACTGATAAATTTTCGACATCAACCGGTCAGGCAGTGAACCACACACATTCTGATAATCCTCTCCTCGGAACTTGGCACCTTCCCGAACCCGAAAGATCCCAAATTTTCCTCCACTACCATGTGGCATTTGCCCATGAAACTCACATTCACCCGAATCAACTCATTTTCCAAAAAACCCAACTTCTCAGAGTCCTTCAGTAAATCATCCAATTTGATTCTCAACCAGCCATCTGCAAATTGATATAACACAGTTGAAATTTACAAATTTATATCAAATAATCGGATAATCAGGATCTAAAACCGTTCCTAATCAGGATCTACCAATTCCTCACTTTCAGAAACCATTTTATCAATTCCACCTCCACCTCCACCTTCAGCTATCCTTCCCCCTACGAATTCAATTGCAATTCCACATCCACCACCATCTACCCTTACCCCTGCGAATTAACTGCCCCAACTAGTATCCAACCCGCCTCAATTTTCCCAGCAATCTAATAAAAAAAAACAGAGGGGAAATCGGACCCAACAACTCTGAAATGGAATAACAAGCAAATAACTGAAAATGCGTTTTGATGATCAAAGAATCAAAACCTTGATTTGAAGATGCGAAATATTGATTCAAACTGCCCGTCGTGACACCCCTTCGATTCGGCTAAACCAGACCAAACAACCATTGCTTTGAAGATCCCGTATCGAACTCGTCGTCCCCGTTCAACGCGATCTGCAGTCGATTTTTGGTGGTGGGTTTGTGAGAGGAATTTGATTTACAGGGAACGTGAGAGAGTTCAGAGAGAAGGAGAGAGTTGTAGGTTTTGTTTCGCGTGTTTTGTGAAATTGGGTCGTTTTACTGAGTCATTTTACAAAACGATGTTTTCATCGTTTTGAGTTTTCAGTTGTATTTTTTTTTTCATTTTCGAAAACGCGTTTTCGAAAATAAGGTAGAGAACACGTTTTCGCTGTTTTGAAAAATTAAAAACAGAAAACAGTTGGAAAACGGCAAAGAGAACAGGGCCTAAGTTTCACAATTGTAAAAATCAT